ATTATTATTAGAAAACCGATAAAAACTCAACCCAGGATTTCCTCTCGAAATATACCCAACAACACAACAAAACGTGCCACGGTTTTTTTTCTATATTTTTTAACATTTTCCGGCTTTATTCTCAAAAACACTCTTTTGTAACAAGCGTGTTTGACAGCTGATTATCAAAAGTTTTACTTTTGTTACGATGATAACAGCCGAGTAGAGGCGCTACTAGCGATAATTCTTTAGCGTATAGTTACAAACTACTTATTCAATTAGTTAACAGATTAAACTTAACAAAAAGTTATGTGGGCCAGGATTAACATAAAATCTTGTTAATATTTGGTTAAAATTAACATATATTTTTTTACTGTGTTTACCCTATTTTAATAACATGTCAAAATTTTAAGCCTTCACCGTCATAATAAAGCCTTAAAATTACCGTACTTATCATTTTCATTTTTGTGCACTGCATTCTTTTCTTTCTTAACTGTGCCATTTCAATTATCTCGTAGCACATGCACATCACTCGCCAGGGGTGACTGTGATCCCCAATTGGTTATGGATACTTAGTGACAGTTTCTCAGTTGGGATCGAATAAAGCTGTCAACTGATACCTACAGCGTTGACACCTGGACAACCATTATTACCTTCCTCGCTGCGATGCTCTATTGTTTGCAAATATCTATTGCTACTTATTTTTCGAATTAAATGCCAACCCGACATCCGGACTGTCAAAAGTACCATTTAAATCAAGATTAGGTGGTAATTTTAGTGTGACGTTTTTTTGTGTGAAAATTTAAATGATTTTTTTAATTTTAATGAGTTTTAATCACTTCTACCGCCTATACACAGTATTAAACATTTTGTAGATTTAATTAAAAAAATCCTATATCAATAATCCAACCATAATTCTTTTTATTTTTACAAACTTTTTTGTAGACCTATTAACATAAGTATTTGTTTGAAATTGGTAACTTAAATAAAAAGAATTTTGATAAAAAATGTTGCTTTATTAATCAATTTTCTAAACAAGAAATTAACACATACCTAAATAAACACATAAATAAACACAATTAAATAACACACAATTCTGAAATCATCAAATTATAAAGAAATTTGGTAAAATATAATTATCAGTACTACTACAACACTTACTCATGTATTTCGTAACTTTAACCCACTTTACTGTATTCCCCAATTTCAGTTTGAAAACCAGTGATGTCCTCTTTTTTCGGATACTATGCACACTCGTTGAATAGGTATAAGGAATCCGAACAACAATAATAACAGATTTCTGGTAATATATTATAAACACTCTGTACAGTTGTTACCAACACGTTACGAATTAGAATAAAGTAAGCAGAAACATAAGTTGCAGACGCTGAAGTTAGTTGAACCTGTTGATGCTAATTGTCGGAGGGAAATGTTTTGATTGACTTGTACTTTTTCAACGAAATAATTTGTTGAACATTAACAAAATAATCTGTAAGCTTTGAAATTAACAATATGCTTACAAAATTGCATATTACCTTTAAAAAATCTTCGGTAAAATATTTTCCTATGTTAAAATAATTACAAACCCTGGTTTTCCACAAAAAATTATGTTAAAAAATAAAATTAGCAAACTACAAACAAAGATTTTATTATTTTTTAACAAATTTTAATTTTTACAAATAACTTTATTTTATTATTATTTTGTTAAATTGGCAAACAACAAAAAATAATTTTTTTAATTTTACAATAAATCAAAACATTTTTACTGCGAAATCTGTTAATTGACTGCTTCAAAAAACACATTCGCGCACAGCAAAGATTTTTTAATAAAGGATTTAAAAGCAATCGGTGCGACTGTTAAACATGCGCGTATGCATATACGGGGGACGTGTAAATTATGTTAAATTATGCGGCGTTAAAAGCATCGTATATCGCCTTTATTCAATTTCATTGGCTGATTATGTTTGTGTTACCCACTAATGCGCTACTCAATGTATTTATGCTTAACTAACTATAAGCACCTGGAATAACTAACTATTCGAATTTTCCTAATTGTTTTTTTACAGTTTTTTTATATTGAATTTAGTATTTTATTTTTCAAATTATTAAAAACGTTTATTAAATCCCTCTGAAAATATCAAATTTTAAAACATATTAAATGTTCTATATATTTTTTTGCAAATTATTACTAAATGTGATAATTATTTTATAATCTCCGCCCCGGGCCCTCGGTCCAGAAGGGCCCTCAAATTAATCAAGTAGTCTTTCTCAGTCCAACAAAAAACTAAATCTAAAATTTAGGGTTTTAAAATTTCCGGAAAAATTGAGCCGAAAAAAAAAAGGTTTTATTCCGGAAAAAAAATTGGGTTTCAGAAAAATTTACTTACATTTTTCTAATTTTATTCAAAGAGTAATAGTAAAAATGCAAAAGTCAATTTATCTAAAAATTTACAAAATTTTACAGATATGTACGATATGTCGTACATAGGTACTATCCGTACACTGATATCGAGAAAAAAGTGAATTTCCGACGATGAATAAAGTAGCAATCAACAACTTAACATATTAATACAATACAATATTAATTGAATTAAAAAAAAATAAAACTAAACATTGAATTAAATCAAGTTAATTTAATTCAATGTTTAGTTTTATTTTTTTTTAAATTAAATTAATGTTAAGTTGTTGATTGCTACTTTTTTCAAATGTATATATGTGTTTTTTTCTTGTCTTTCATACTTTTCTAGTATTTTTCTAGCTATTTTAACTTTATACGTTGGCACAACGTGCATAGAAGACACATTTTAAACGTTTTTGTTTTTTTTTCAGTTAGTTTTGTAATTACTACTTTAGAGTAAAAAAAGAGTTGCTAAATATATGAGATTGAGAATGATTACTTAACACACTCCTGAAGTATCAAAGCTGTCCCCAATTTATTAGTGTAGGATTTAAAGGAATTTTGGATAACTTTTAAAACTTTGAACGTTTTCTATGAATTTCAATAAAATTCTTGATGGTTGGAGCAGAGACAATCTCTTGAAAGTTTAAAACTAACATAAAATCATGTTATTACCGCTAAACGGTGTGAAGAATGTAAATGACTGCCTATATAGACTACTTAGTAAAGTATTTGCTGGTGAAAAAAGTATTTCTTAAAACAATTAGAGAAATATGTGATACTGGGTAGCCGATAAATCTTAAGAGCAAAAGATGTTGGTGCCTAATATAGTAATAATTGTATGGCTATTGAATTCAATTGGCAATATCACCACTATTATATAAAACTAGTTGAAAAAAACCGCTAAGGAATGAGGCTAAAAGCAGCGTTCAGAGAAATACTTTGTCCTAAAAAATGTGTGAAACATTAAATTAAATTATAAATAAAGTTTGCTAAAAACAGCTAATGATATTGATTTCCAATTGAAAAACTGTTATCCCGATCTTTAATTTTATTGCACCGGTTTGTTTGGTCACAAGCATTAACTTTAACGATTATGAATTAGATGAAATCATATTTGGAATTTTTCACAATTTTATACCGAGTTTTTCGAATATTTCCTTAATTGTTCTGCTTCTTACAGTAAAGGTTGTTTACCTTGTGTTCCATTATAAACCTACATGAGTATGAGTATGAGCATAAGAACGTATGGTTGGCCCCATCGGCATCGCCTTACACTGATCCCCCAGAGTTCTTTTTTTACCAACTTTTAGTTCTTGTACGTATCCCACAACTGCACAGCATTACCTGTGTTTGGTGCATCCGAATTTTCACCCCGACTGGTAAATCTCTCTTAGGAGGTCGTGGATGTCGCCGGGCCGGGCCATAAGCCCAATTTAGGCCAGTGGAGTGCGGGACTAGGAGGGAAAACATTTTGGTTTTTGGGGGACATTGGACTGACCCAAAAATAAGTACAATCCGGATTTAGAAATACCCCCATTCATTTGGGTTTCTTGAATGGGGTTTTGGTAGTTAGTTCGCTGCTTGTACCTATTGTTAATGGTTTTGAAGTACTATCTGTTCGTTTGCGTTCGTGTATGCTAAAATTTCGGGCACTGCTGACCGCAATTGTTTGCCCCTCTGTGCGAAACCATTTTTCAGCCTAGGGTCGAGAACATTGATAGATAGTTTTCGGTAGTCGGCAATGTGACTATCATAGTTAACAATAGTTTTTTTTGTTTATAACGAATTATGCGAAAATTATCTGTAAAGGAAAGTTAGTAGATACAATGTATTTGTCTCACTGTGGGTAAGCCTTAGCTTTATTTCAGAAAAGACTTATTAAAAAATAGTGGTGTGTTGGCATGTTTATTGTTGATGACTAGTTGATTTTTTGTTTTTGTTAACGTTTATTGCGTATCACGGCTGTTTGTTTAGTTTTGGTTTTGTACCGATTTATACGAATATTTACGTTTGCTGTCCTGTGGGAATTCTCTTTTTCTTATTAGTCTGTTTTGTTTTCCTGGTTTAGATGTGTTGAAGACTCTTAACCTCTTCGAGAAAATGGAAGATTACGTTTTTAGTAGAGGATGCAAATTAAATCATATGGATTAAAGCCATTGAACTTATCTTTTGTTGCAACTTGCTACTGTCCACTTGACCCTTTCTTTGGTTCCTTCAGGAGACTGGTACATTGAGTTCACCTGTACCGGTAGTGTAACTGATTTCTTACATTCTTCATTACACTGTATTGCACTGCACTACTGTATTAGCTCTTTGCTGATTCTGTAAGACATCGGGAGACAGGTACCTTGATTTAACTGCACAGATAGTGGCCCTGGGATCTAATTGCGCACTGGATACACTTAAAATTGCCTAACAAACTTAAGTATACTGTGACCGATTTATTGTTACTTCCTTAGTATATAGAAGCGGTCGCTTACGCGTCTGCATCTTTTGATGTCTTAAGACGTACATTATAAACGTACATGTATTTAAAAATGCTGAATAAAAACATAATTAAAGATCAAGCTTTCAAACTAATTAAAGAGAACATTCTATAGAGCTCTAATTCCGTCCTTACCTTTTTGAAAGATGGCGCTGTTGTGAGGATTCTTGCTCTTCGTCGCCAAGGACGAGCAGTTCCATCGGTGTCCCTGAAACTGATACTGGCACTCGTTGACGGCCTCTTTGAGCCCTTCCAAGGCTGCAACGAACGTGTCTGGTTGCTGATAGCAGAGTTCAATCTGCGATTTACTGAGTCCAGGTACTGTGCGGCAGACTTTCGTGTCTGGATACGGGGAATAATACAGCGTCGATTGCATTGCGTATTGCTTGGTGAGCGGGGAGATTTTTCCCAGGATGGTGCTGAAACAATATCACACTATTTTATATTTTTTTCTCTAATGACACAATTTGGGCAATGTGTCGACACGGATTTGGAACATGATTAAAGACCACTAAGTGTGGAAAATAGGACAAAAGTAGTAAAGAAAGTTGCACCAAAGAGTTTCCACACTGCCCACAGTTTTCACACTTCTGTAGTACTGCGTTTCAAACAAATAACAAATCAGACACCATGAATCTAAAATGCAGCTAAATAGGAACTTTTGTGTCCACTTGACTCCATTTGGTAACAAAACGGAAACAGATTAGTAGGTCCATAATGGAAACATTAAATTAACTAAGTGTGGACCCTAATGAGTCCGAATTGTGTTACTCGCAGTAGTTTGTAATTATAAAAAACATTTTGTAGATTTAATAATAAAATCATATGTCAAAAATTCAACCATAAATCTTGCAATTTATAAAAAGGACTTATTTTTACAAACCCGTTTGTAGAGCCAGTAACAAAAGTATTTGTTGGAAATTAGGAAATTAAATGAAAACAAGTTTGATAAGAAATGTTGCTCTATTGCTTTATTTCTTAAACAAAAAATTAACACATACCTACCTACATAAATAACGCACCATTTTGAAATTATCAAATTATAATAAAATTTGGTACAATATAATTAATAGTAGGCACTACTACAACACTTAATCCCGCTGCACAACAGCCCGGGAACGGAAACCTAAACTGTAAAGGTGGGAGAGACTCAGCGAACCCTATCATCAACAGTGGTTTTTTAGTCTCTCCCACCTTTAATGTTAAGATTCCCGTTCCCGTTACCAGGCTATTGTGCAGCGGGCTTTACTGATCTATGTCGTAAATTTAACTCACTTCGCTCACCCCTAATTTCAGTATGAAAACCAGTGATGGCATCTTTTTTCGGATACCTCGCACTTCGTATACTTCTTAAATAGGTATAAGGAATCCGAATAACAATAATAACAGATTTCTGGTAATATATTATAAACACTCTGGACAGTTGTTACAAACACGTTACGAATTAGAATAAAGTAAGCAGAAACATGTTGCAGACCCTGAAGTCAGTTGAACTTGTTGCTGCGTATTGTCAGTGGAAAATGTTTCGATTGACTGCCTGAAATCACGTGTACTTTTTCAACGAAATAATTTGGTAAACATTAACAAAATAATCTGTAATCTTGGAAATTAACAAAATGCTTTCAAAATTGCTTATTACCTTGACAAAACTTTTAAAATATTTTCCTTTGTTAAAATAATTACAAACCCTGGTTTTCTACAAAAAATTATGTTAAAATTTTACAAAATAAAATTAACAAACTACAAACTCATGTTAAAAAATCTGATTTTTATAACAATGCAATTGGTCTACAAAGCAGCCCCAAATTTGAAGAAGGGAAACATTTTTTCTTCAGACATAACTTTTCCGAATTGTGTCAGGCACAAATTGCTGCTTGGGTCCTTTAAAATACTTATTGACAAGCTGTGACTTTATGGCATTTTAGTCATGGGCTGAAGTTAGTTGCAGTTGTTAAAAATCGTACAATAGTCAGTCTGACAGATTTTATTTATTTTTAAAAGATATTTAATTTTTTTTGTTCGTCGTAGAAGAAGTAAACGATAAAAAAGCATCGGGTTTGGCGATCAACAATGTTTGTCAACAATACATTTAAAGTGTCCAAACTGGACATTATTTTTTAATAAATATTTTTTTACAAAATAGAGGAAGACAGAAGTCTTACTCGACAAATTTTGTTTGCAAAGTTTTAATTGCACAGCTAAATCGTTTACATTATTTGTGTTTCGCGTTGCAAGTAAAAACTAAAAAACTTTGGTTTGTTACTCGATTTTGAATTATCATTCCTTAAATTATTAATTAAGAAACTCAACGCTTATATGCTCATATAGTTACGGTAGTGTGTATATTTTATCTAAAAATCCAATTCGCTACAAATATTTGCCTAATTTATCTAATATAATTTATATTATTATAGTTTGGACATTTTTTAGAAATCTAACAAAAAATAATAGTATAATAGTTGTACAAACATAACCTTAAAATCAAACAGTTTTATATTTGAGTCCTCTAAAAACGACGACAACTGCTTTTAAAATAGTATCTATACAACAAAATATATCTCTACCAATTAATTGCAACATAATATTATATATAATACACAATATAATACCCGTTTTTGGTGTTTTACCGTTTAGTGGAGACATTTTCAATCAACACTTTTAATATTGCACAACGATGTTTGAGTTTAGACAACTTATTTGTTATATGATTTTTACTAAATTGAAATGTTTAGAATTTTCACGTAAATAATAATTATTATCAAATGTATATTTATTGTATCTAATAGGAAAAAAATATATTTACAGGGACTGTACTCTCTTAAAATGAATTAGTCAAAAATAACTAATTATAAGTCATATTTGACTAATTGTCATAGCGAAAAATCAGTCACTAATAATTAGTCAAATTCCACTAAATTTAAAAAAAGTTTTGACCCAGCCTGGGATTGAACACAGGTCTGTCACTTGACAAGTTTGTCAAGCTAACCTCAAAAATCAAAAAAAAAAAAATCAAAATCAATATATTTTTAAATTAAATAATTACAGATCATAAAAAAGGTAAAATAGTAAAGGCCGCAATGTGGTGATGTGGTTGGCTGTAAAGAGGCGCGTGGAAGTGTGGTTCCACCTCTTGAGCCTCCCTGCGGTGAAGATGCGTGGTACGGGTGGTAGCAGCGCAGTCTTCCGACGGTCTTTGTCCCTTGTACTAAGCCCTTCTTATTAGCATGGAGCTTGTCTGGCCTTTTCTCGCAGAGCGAATGTGAGGCCAGCTTGATCCGGGTAGAAGAATAAAGTCTAGAAAAATTTACGGAAAAAAGAATGGTGATGTTGAAGAGTTAAAAGAATGATTTCAAGGGAAAAATAATTAAAAAACCCTCTTAAAAAATTTGGAAAAAATACATAAAAGATAGAAAAGAATTTAGAAAAAGACCTGCAGCACCATGGTACTACGGTTGGATTTGAAGGGGATGTTAAAAGTCTGGTTGGAGATGTCTCAAGGTCAAGAACCCTAAAGTCCTAAATCAACAGACATCTCCCACGTCGCGTATTGTTCTGAGGGTTAAGCTACTGCGGTGTCAGTGATGCACCGGGGGGTCGCGAAATATCGGCAATCTGCCATAGATCAGGCCAGGTTTATAGCGCGCATTGTGGTGTTGTCTGAGCGTAGTTATATGGCGTGTTAACGGGTGTCGGTGTAGTTTCTTAGTGTAGAATTTATTTGCCTGATCCATGACATACTCTTTTAGATAAGGCAGGCTTGCTGTTTCATGCATGTCGTCAATAGGGGTATATCTGCCCGAGTTGGTGATGTGCCGAAGCGCTTTATTTTGCAGTCGCTGCAAAGCAATGTATTGCGTGTTGGATGCGCTGCACCATACCGGACAACCATAGGTAAGAACCGGTCTGATGCAGGATTTGTAGAGTGTAATTTTGTTTTCGATTGACAGCGGAGAATTTTTGATGATTAGGGGATAAATCGCTTTAAGAGCTTGAGAGAGCCTGGACTTGAGAGAAGTAATATGTGGGACAAACCTCAGTCTTCTGTCCAGGATAATACCGAGGTATTTTACAGAGCGCCTAGAAGCTAACCTCATAACGCATTCGGCTGTCAGCCGCTCTTATAAAAATTAATTTTATTTGTCAATAAATATTGTTCATAATATTTTAAAGTTTAATATATTATTTGTGTTGCTGTTTTGAGCTAAACTTTTTGCATCTTTATTTGTTTTATGGGTCATTTAACCATGGAGAGGTATATGCATTTAATTCAAATAATATCTACTTTGTTGTTGGCCGTAAACGATTAAAGAAATTAGTTACTTTTAACTGTCAGAAATAGTCAAATATGGTGAATAATCTTAAATTAGTCAAACTTTAACTATTTACGTAGTAAAAAATAACTATTTAAAAGTGAAAACGACTATTTTATTAGTAAAAAATGCTGGTATTAATTTAAATAGTAGAATTTTGACTATTTCATTTTTAGAGAGTATGCAATTTATTTTTTCATTCGGATTTCCACTGTTTATTGGGAAACCGGTAAAAATTCAACCCAGGATTTCCTCTCGAAAAACACAAATCGGTCCACGTTTTTTTCTTCCGATATTTTTAACATTTTCCGGCCTTATTCTCAAAAACACTCGTTTGTAATACGCGTTTGACAGCTGCTTATTAAAAGTAGTAGTTTGGTTACGAAAATAACGGCCACGTGGTGGCGCTAATAGCGTATAGTATACAACTTATTTTATAAACTTGTTACATAAGAAAATTTTATTTATCTAACTCAAAAATTGTTAAACATATTTTTTATGGGCCGTTGATTGATACTAATCGTCGTATACACGCCGAAATGATTTAATCGTTTAATATCTAGACCGCAATCAAAATCTCGAGCGTTTCCCACAACATCAAATGTGCCCAGTGTTTTTAATAGTATGATATAAATGTACAAGTAAACTTAATTAAGATTAAGATAATGTTTATTTACCGACAACAAAGTTACGAAATATATCACTTGTCAAAAAAGCTTTCAGAACGAGATTATTGTCATTTATTTACTTTTTAGGCGTGGAACTTACTAATTTAGAACTAATTTGAGATAAAAGGTGGACCTTGTAACAAACGTGACAAAAACCTTAAATTTAAATGTCAATTATTAAGAAAAAGGATGACCTTGATGAAATAATTTTGGCTAAGGGAAAAAACATTTATTATCAGCAAGCAGAGCTGTGCGGTACTCGAGTACTTGTACTCAAATTTTGTACTTTTTATGTACTCGGTACTCAGTCCAGAGTACATTTTAAAAAAGTACTTGTACTTGTACTTATTTAATTTAAAAATAGTATTATTTTAAGTGTTTTGGTTTTTGTTATACTGGGGTAAGATTTTAAATACTATTTTGTATTTGATTACCTATAGT